GCTATCACATCTCTCTGCCCTGAGTTGGAAGGTGCTTAATCAAGTTCTTGCCTGAAAAGCTTTAATATTTTACGTATAAGGTTCTTTCTGAGGCTCTGTTTTTTTTGTTGTTGTTGTTGTTTTGTTTCCCTGCACTGTGCTATTTTTATGCAGTTTTACTTCGGCTTTTCTCTTTGAGAATCTTGATCAAGTAACCACTCAGGTTGTTCCCTTTCATGTTTCAAGGTACAAAGCCAGCACTCTACTTCCAGGATGTGGGGGACACACCAACCTGTTCTGATTACTTATGATTTCCAGTGATTTCATTTAATCTTTATGGCCACCATCTTTTTTAGTATATACACTGCCGAGGTGAGCACAGACAGCCACCATCTGGAGTTAGGGTTCTTTCATCCCATCAATCAAACATTTGTTACTGCTGAGATTTATAGACTGATCTGAGTTCTGTGGAGTGTGTAACTCAGTAGAGTAAATCAGGCAGTTACAGGAACAATGAGAAGAGTAACAGAGAAGGGAGGCTTCCTGGAAGAAGTGTCATCTTTGTCCTAGCCTGAGAGGTGACCAGGTACTAGCCTGTGCAGGAGCACTGTGCCAAAGAGCTCAGATGGGAGCCCATGCCTGCAAGTCAGAGAGGCTTGGTTCAAGCTCTAGGTGTGCCAGTCTCTAAATCTTGGGAGGCAAATCACTTACCTTCTCTCACCACGTTTCCTGTGATGTTGGGAACTGGCACAAGTAAAGGAAATAATGTCTCTGAAGGAACTGGAACATAGTACTGAGCTTACATGCAAGCTACTATCCTGAATATTCATAGTAGCAAATTAAAAATTATGTGCTTTAAAATTTGTTTACTTTATTATGTAAATTATACCTCAGAAGATGCTTTCATTGTGGAGAGCAATCTTTGTGGCTTAGGTATAGAGTATGAAGTAGGAAGCAAAGCTGGCTGCTGAACTATACTGAATCCCTTTCCATGTGAGAAAAGGGGGGGATGGTCTGGGTGCTAAGCACCACCCAGCTTATAACTGGCAAGCGGTAAAGGCAGGATTGAAACCGAAGCCTGTCAGATGCTTCACATCTGCGAAGGTGTGTGGTTGGTGTCAGTGCCTGTGTTTTGACCAGCAGTCTTTCCTGTCATTAAACAGGAGCAGGTTAGGATTGCACTTAAACTAACAAATAATTGCTCATAGTAGATGTGCAATTCAAGACTGGCTTCATGGGTAATTTTTTTTTTTTTTTTTGAGCTATGGACTTTAGCTTCTATAGATCTTTAGCACAAAAGAAAAGAACGTTACAGTAGTTCAGAAAGGAGAAAGTTGAAGATGAAAAGAAAAAATGATAGCACCTGAGGACCTGAAGAGATTGGGGTGGGAAAAGGAGGGCCATCCCTCCTGCTGGAAGAAGGGCATTTGGAGCCCCACGGGGTTGTCCCCCAGGGAGGCATCACCCAGATTCTCTCCTGGGTGTCTCACCTCTGCCGCTGTAATGCGGCAGGGAGGTTTCTGTGTGTCTGACCTGTGTGCTCTCTCCTTTACATTCCTCTTAGTCAGATTGTTGTAGACTTCGCAGAATTTGACAAGTTTTCAGAGCTGTCAGCAGAAAGGGTAACTGGTTACTCATCTCAGAACTGTGGCTGGGTGAGGACACGAGCCATGTGCAGTAGGACCTCAAGACGGGCCGGCTCCTGATGCTGCGGGTCAGGAACCTGGCTCCGAGGTTAGAAACCAGACCTCCTGAAACACTGTGGAAAAGATGACCTTTGTTAATCAGATCCAGGAATTTTCTTAGAAGCAATAATCAATTGTTAGATTGGGGCAGAGTAATGGCTCATCACTGAGTATATCTGCTCTGTGAACAGATGAGTGGATGCTCTGTCCTAACTCCCACATGTATGTGTCCTGTTTTGTTTGTTTTTTTTTCCTGTTTTGTTTTTTAAATCAGCAAATCAAAGGAATAAGCTAAAAACTTGATCTAAGTATGTTCATAAATAATGGTTTTGTTTTGTTTTGTTTCCTCTGTTACTGGGGATTGAACCCAGGGCCTTTCCACTGAGCCACATCCTCAGCCCTTTTTCTAATTTTTAATTTGAGACAGGTCTTACTAAATTGTTAAACTGCCCAGATTTGACTTGAATTTGACATCCTGCTGCCTCAGCCTCCCAGTGTACTAGGATTATAGACGTAACAACACATGCCTGACTTTGAGTATTTTTAATGTTCCTAGAGAGTTGTTCCTAGAGAGTTGTATAGAGTTTAATGTTCCTATAGTTTTTGTTATTGTTAAGACCTAGATTTTAATCCCAAACACCAAAGAAGTATGTGGGAGGATAAATAAATCATAGGATTGCATTGGTGACTAGCTTCACAGAGAAACAAAAAAGAGGGAGGGACCTTGATTTGTACTGCTGCCAGCCTCCATCTGTAGGAATTCACCTCGGCCAGGTGCACATTCCTATTGTGAAGTCAGTGAACATGGAGTTGGGAAATGGTATAACCCACCTTCCATCACTTCACAACAGATACATCATAAACCCTGAGAAAGCAAGAGCAAGCCAGCATTGCACAGTCAGTAAGTGTAATCCAGCAAAGTGTAATCACCATAGAAAAAAACAAAACTGTGAACCTAAGAATGTCTTTTAAGAATGTTCTGCAGTTAACAAAATAGACCACCCAAAATAGTTCTCTGACAGTGGATCTGCTTCAGGTCCCCTTGTGTTGTGCATTGCATCTAATCCTTTTTGCTTTACTGCTCTGATCGTTGCTGGTTTTTCTTTTTCTGTTTATTTTGTTTTTTTGAGACAGGGGCTTGCTAAGTAGTTTAGGTTAGCCTTAAACTCACTTTGTACCCCAGGCTGGCCTCGAACTTGCTGCAATCCTCCTGCCTCAGCATCCGGAGTACTGAGATTACAGGTGTGCACTGCCACATCTTACTGCTTTTTCTTTGTGGACACTCAGATCACATCATCTTCCCTTGGCTACTACTTGTTCATTTGCTACTTGTGGTTAGATACTGCTCCTGGCCAGTGACTCACCAGGAGAAAGAAGAAATCCTCCTGGCACATACAAAAAAATACTGAGGTTTATAAAACTGTTTAATTGGTTCATGAGTTTCATATCCTCTTCCCCCAAAGACAAAAGAGATATGTTCATTTTTTATTCAGTGAAATTATCTTTTTTAATAACCTTATTGTGATAACTTTTCTATTATACTTACTTTAATGGGGTTTTAGGATGGTGGAATAAAGACTTAGTTTTCCATTCTTTTGGGGCCACTCTCAGGTGAAGAATAAAATTTCTTTTTTAATTCATAACTGTAGGTAAGGATGAGTGGGTGCTCAGGTGCATGTGTGGTGCTGGGGATGAAACCCAGGCCCTTGAGCATGATAAGCAAGTGCTCTACCACTGAGCTACACCCTTAGGCCCAGTCCTTTTAAAAACGTGACTCAAGGGGGCTGGGGATTTAGCTCAGCGGCATAAGCACCTGCCTTGCAAGCAAGCAGTCATGAGTTCGATCCCTGGTACCGATAAAAAGGAAAAGGACAAAAAAAAACCTGACTCAACTCCTGACACTTTTCTTGGCACATAGATCTGTTACCTATTTTAATGAAAAGATGAAAAGTAAATCCCCTGGTTAATTTAGCAAGACTCTCAGTATCTAATTTTTTTTTAAAAAAGGACTGATGATGTAGCTTAGTGGTGGAGTACTCATGTTTAATCACCTGTCTGTCTGTCTATCTCTCTCTCTCTCTCTCTCTCTCTCTCTCTCTCTCTCACACACACACACACACACACACACACAGCAGGGAAAGGGGTTCCAAAGGTTCCTCATTCTCCCATGCTTTCCCGCGAATACTCTGTTGTGAGACCCAAATACTTACTCCAGGGTAGGGACCTTCTATACCTCTGTGCTCATTATAAAGACATGTAGAACAGAAAGAGCAAGAATATATCAGTTATAGTTTCTGAGGAACTTTTTAAAGTGATCTAGGCCACCATATAGCTATGAGATAAACTTTCTACCATGTTGGTATGTTAGGTTTTTATGCTTTGTTTGTATGCTCCAGAATGTTTGTGTTTTTAAAATCAGTGTATATGTACATATTTACTAATACTTAACACAGTTTTCTCATTTAAGTTACTATGTATCTTTGAAGTTTGACATGCTGTTGAGGGCTGGGGAATATGTAAGTGAAGGGGAGGGTATAAGTACCTGCCTGGCAAGCACAAGGTTGTGAGTTCTATCCCTGGTACCACAAAAAAAAAAAAAAAAAAAAAAAAAAGAGGAGAGAGAGAGAGAGAGAAAGAAATGACATGCTGTTGATTTCATCTGCTTTACCATATGATTTCATAAGAGCTATATGTTATAGTGACATTAAAATGAAGACATAGAAGTGAGTGTGGTGGCACACACCTGTAATCCCAGCATTAAGGAGGCTGATGCAGGAGTATCCAGTAAGTTCTGTGGCTACTTAGTGAGTGCAGGGCCAACCTGAAGTACATAGTGAGACCCTGTCTCAAAATCAAAAAAACAGAATTTAAAAAAAAATAAAAAGTTGTGGTAGGTTTTCTGATTTTCAGAATGTGAAATTTCAAAGATTGTTTGCAAGTGGATTGAGCAAAGTATGTGTTTTTCTACCTAAGAAAGCCAGACTGGGTAGAATCTCATATGCCTAGTGGTCAGGCAGAGAGACTTCTCAATTACATGAATAAAACTTTGAAGTTTGTGATTTGCTTGTCAGATTGAAAAGGAGAAGTAAAAGAACCATCTTTCATTTAGGATAGTAGACATTACTATTCTCTCCTCATATCCAGATTTTTGGTTATCCAAACCATACCAAATTACTCCATCTTGACACAGTTTCAGCAACCTCCATGTGAGGAAGTTAGCACCTCCATCAAAATCAAGTTGGGTTTCAGCGTCCCAAAAAACACAGTGGTCGTCGTTTTCACTGAATCAGATCAGTGTTCACTCTGATTTTACTAATGAAAGTTTTTCTCCAATAGGGATGGATGAATGAGATTTACAACTATGATCCAGAAACTTACCATGCAACTTTGACACATTCAGTCTTCGTTCGACTTGAGGGTGGAACCTTAAGGCTTTCAAAACCCAATAAAAACATATCCAGGAGGGCAAGCTACAATGAAACGAAGCCAGAAGTCACGTACATCAGCCAGAAAATCTATGACCTTTCCGACAGCAAGGTGAGCCCTGGGAATTTTGGAAGCAGAGCTTAGGCGAGTGAAAGACTAAGGAAACTTGGTTGCTTTACTGTATTTTTCCTACTAGGAAGGTTTTTATTTTATCATTTAAGGATCAGTATACTTTAAGACAGTGCCTTTCTAACTTTAATGCATGTGTGAGGCCAGGGACTTAGCTCTGCGGTGCAAGCACCTGCCTGGCATGCACGAGGTCATGAGTTCAATTCCTGGTACAAAAAAAAAAAAGAACCACTTTCACCTTACTACAGTTGTGAACCACATGAGCACCTCTTACAGTACAGATTCTGGTTCAGCAATATTGATGGGGCTGGGATCCTACACTTTATGATCTCCCAGGTCCTACACGTGCGGCAGGTACACAGACCAGATCTCAAGCAGAGGAATTCAGCACTTAGAATTCTGCCTCTCAGAGCTGATCTAAGCAGCCAAACAATATGCCACATGGTAAGAAAATACTAACTAATGAAGGCCCTGTAAAATGTGACAATTGTGTATGTGCAAAAAAGTATATTTTTATAAAATGTTGTTTCACCATTTTGTGTTTGTGAGGGAGATAAAGTATGATTTCTTTTTTGCAAGGGGGAGGTTGAGACAGGGTCTCACTATGTAGTTCAATGTGGCCTTGAACTCACTGTGTACTACAGGCTGCCCTTGAACTCATGGCAATCCTCCTGCCTCAGCCTCCCAGCCTCCCATATTACAGGTATGTATCACATACCTGGCATGTTGTTTGAATGCTATTCCACAGAACTATGGGTTCTCTGTCCTTACAACTGATCTGAATGTTCTTTAAATTTCTCTGAAATGGCAGAGGTACTTAATTTTTGTGTAAGCTTATTTTTGAGTCGATACCCATTGTTGCCTGGAGCTTTCCATCTAGACTGATATGTTCTCCCCCAGCTTAAGTTTAGCCCAGAGTCATTAAACACAGTTGGTGTCAAACTTAGTTAATGATAACTGACTAAATGCTATCATTGCTACTTCTGAAAAATTGTATACATAATTAATAACTCTTGCAGAATTCTTAAACATCAACATTCTGGAATGATTTTTGAGGACTAAGTCATTTCTAAAAATTTATTCCAGTTATATAGTTGTGTTACAGACAGGCAATAAATTTAGGTAATTATTTCACATTGATCATTTTAATCAGACATACTGTATGCTTTGTGTTACGTGTAATATTAATGTACAATGTAGTTAGTCTTAAGTACATAAATCATTTCACTTTATTTTTAGATTTATCTTGTACCTAAAAGTTTGGCTCGAAAACGAATCTGGAATAAAAAGTATCCTATTTGTATTGAGCTTGGTCGACAAGATGACTTTATGTCTAAGGCTCAGGCTGATAAGGAGACCTCTGAAGAGAAGCCACCAGCTGAGAAAGAGCTGGGAAGCGAGGACCCTAAGAAGCCGTCCCACCCTCAAGAGGGCACAAGATCTGTCCATCGAGATCAGATACTGTATCTGTTTGGGAGAACTGGCCGAGAAAAAGAGGAGTGGTTTAGGAGATTTATTCTGGCATCTAAGCTGAAGTCAGACCTCAAGAAGCCACCTGGTGTCTCTGGAAGTAAACCAGGTAATGGCATTTGTACTGAGTGCTTTTGCATTTTTAAAGGGCCTGTAGAGAGATTGGGAAAGACTGCCAGGCAGGGAAGAAGCCCACCCTGTATTGATTGCTCTCTGCCCCTTGAAGTGTTCTTATGACTCATGGACCTTTTAGACTAACACCACAACTCTTGGTATCGAATCACTTCAGGAGAAGTGGGCCCATTTGCAGATGTATGTGGTTAGCTTTTGATTGTTCTGCGGGTTGGTTGGTTTATTTGTTTGTACATGTTGTGATGTTCTAAAAGAGGCAGCAACAGCAGAAACTAGTTAGAAGAAAGCAAGTGAGAACTGGGGTTGTAAGCCAGTGATCGAGCATGTGCTAGTGTGTGCAAGGCCTGGGTTTAATCCCAGATCTGCAAATAAAAAATTAAGAAGGCAGAAAAGTCTGAGGTACTTCACACTAGTGCTCCGAGCTCCTAACCCTCAGCCTATCCTCCAAGCTTAAGATTGCCATAGAAATGTGGACCCCTCTGGCTGGCTGACCGGAAATCGATAGGAATGCTATTGATAGAAATGCAGGAATCCCACAAGTCCCTCGGAAGTACCTTAAACACTAAAACTCCAGAGGAATAGGAAGATTACTGAATATATTCATTTCCAAAAATAGTATGTTCATTTCCTAGGACTGCCAGGACAAAATGCCACAAACTGAGTGGCTTAAAACTGGAAATTCTTTCACATGACTGGAGACTAGAAGTACAGAATCAAGGTGTTAGCAAGGCTGTGCTCCTCAGAGACTGCACAGGATCCTTCCTTGTTTCTTGCTCACTTCTTCTGCTTGCCGGGTTCCCGACTTGCAACTGCAGCCCTCCAGGCTCTGCATTTCATCATGTGCATCATCTCTGCATGTCTCATCTCTTTTTTCCTGAGACGAGGTCTTGTTATCTAGTTTAGACTGACCTTAAACTCACTGTGTAGCCAAGGCTGGTCTTGTGCTCCCAGCAGTCCTGCCTCAGCCTCCCAGCTGCTGGGATTACAGACATGTACCACCATTCTCAGCTGCTCGTCTCCTATATAAAGACCCCAGCCTTTATATTTCCAAATAAGGTCACATTCTGAGATGACCAACATACCTTTTGGGGGACATAATGAAACCCAATATGCTGAATAAAAGAAGATTCAAGAAGGTGAGAACACCCCAGCCCCAGCACTACTTAACTCTCTTGAGTCTAACCTGTGCTGGCCAGTACAGTAGCTGTCAGGCCAGGTGGCTGACGAGCCCTGAAATGTGACCAGTTCAAGCTGAGCTGTGGTATAAATGTAAGCTTTACACTGGATTTCAAACTCAGTCCTGCCAAGTAGTTATCTCATTAAAATTTTTAATATTGATTACATGTTGAAATGATAATGTTTTAGATATAGTCAAATATTCCAATAATTTCATTTGCTTTTACCTTTTTAATGTGGCTACTAGAAAATTTCCCGTCGGACATGTGTAGCCCAGACTAGCCTCAGACTTGCAGCAATTCTCCTCACTCACTCAGCCTCCCAAGTTCTGGGATGATAGGCACATGCTAGATTTGTAAATATTTAAGATACAACTTTTATGCCAACATTTAAAAGTAATATTAAAGTCAGATGGTATGAAGGTAATAAAGGGTTATACAGAATTTAAATTCGGGGCTGAGGATTTAGCTCAGCGGCATAAGCCCCTGCCTTGCAAGCAGGCAGTCGTGAGTTCAATCCCCAATACCGATAAAAAGGAAAAAGACAAAAAAAAAAAAAACCAGAATTTAAATTCAAGGTAAAATTTCAAATACTACCTTGGAAATTAGCTGGCTAAAATTTAATTAAGAAATGACCAGTATAACTCTGTGAGACTCTGAGAACTTTCATTTCAGATGGTTGGAACCTCTCAAAAATAAAATGACTTGGTTAAATTTTTTTCTCCCACTCCTGGGAGTTGAACCCAGGGCCTATGCACTGAGCTACATACTCTGCATTTTTTTTTAAGGCAGTCTCACTTGGTCTGCCTCAGTTGCCTAGGCCAGACTCAAACTTGTGAATACTCTTACCTCAGCTTCCCAGGTGTGCCGTCATGTCCTGTCCTCATAAACTATTTTTTAAACCATCATTTAATAGCATTTTAGTGCTGTTTCTATTTAACCTGGGTATGTTTGTGATGATGAGTTTGGTGTTCTTGATGGTTGCTTCCTTCCTCTGTTGAGACATCACTTCTTTGCTCCAGGGATTTTGCCTACCCACAGCAGACACAGCAGCCCCTCTGGACACCTGACCCACAGCCGCAGCAGCAGCAAAGGCAGCGTGGAGGAGATCATGACACAGCCAAAGCAAAAGGAGCTGGTGGGCAGCATACGGCAGAAGATGCTTCTAGACTACACTGTGTACATGGGCCGGTGTGTGCCCCAGGAGAGTCGGAGCCCCAACAGGAGCCCTGTGCAGAGTGCAGAGAGCAGCCCCACGGCTGGGAAGAAGGTAAAGCTGCCTGGCCAGACCTTTCTGCTCATAACCTTCAGATCATTCCTTCATCCGTAGGGGATCAAGTACCCATTTTTTTTGCCAGGTCTTCCTTGTTCCAGGCCCTGGGAACAGGGTGATGAGCAAGATAGAGAAGGGCCCTGACCATGGGAGTTTGTGCCCTACTCAGGAAGTCAGCAAGAAACAGACATCAGGTAGACAGTAAAAATTGTAGCCTTCAAGGGGCTGGTGGGGAGTGCACTGAGGAGGTAAACTTTAGGCAGAGCCTGGGAACTTGAGGCAGTAAGCCTTGGCGAGAGGGGTTGGAGGACCCCTCTGGGAACCACCAGTAGCACAAAGGCCCCACAGTAAGAATGTGGTGCATGCCTGTAATCCCAGTGAGGAGGCTGAGGCAGTAGGATTGCCATGAGCTTAAGGGAAACTTGGGTTACATTATGAGTTCAAGGCCAATCTGAACCACATAGCAAGAGCCTGTCTCAAAGAAAAAAAAAGAATATGTTTGGACTGCTCAGCTAGCAGCATTAACAGCATTGAGGTCAGTATGGCCAAACAGTGAAGGAGGGCAAGAGAGAGGGGCAGAGCGGGTTGGACAGATCTATTCCAAGGAAGAGGGGCGGGGTGGGGAGGAGTGTGAACAGGGAGTGATGGTAGTCTGACTTATGTCTAAAAAAATGTGTGATGCTCAGTAGAGAAGTGGCTGTAGGGAGGATGGAGAAGGTGGGCAGAGGTGCCGGTGGTAACAGCAGGTGGTGAGGAGTGGTGAGTGTGTTGGCAGAAAAGCTGCCCAGGTGGATGTGGGTATGAGAAGGAGCAAAGGTGACACCTTACCTTTGGACTGAGCAACTGGTATTCAGTAGGGAAAGTCACAGAATCACTAGTGATAGAAGTCTTAATTCCTCAGCAGCTGCTATGGTAACTTCAAATGCTCAGACTCCTCAACTGTGCTGTGCTTTTGAAGTGTACCATAAACATGAGTACTGAGGTATGACAAGCAGGACATTGATGTAAGATCAGTAATGCAGGGGCCGGGGATTTAGCTCAGTGGTGTAAGTGCCTGCCTGCTAAGCGCAAAGTCATGAGTTCAATCCCTGGTACCAAAAAAAAAAAAGATCAGTAATGCAGGCTGCCACCTGCCAGACTTGGTTATAGCCTTGAGTAGCATTATTCTGATCCCTGAGCTTCCTAAATGGGCTTCTCTTCTGAGAGAAGTTAGGTAGCTTAGATATGCAGCTGCTAGATGAAGGACTGTGCAGAATCTTACCTAGAGTTCCAGGCCGTTGGCTTGCAGTGACTGTTACATTGGTGGGCTGTTTTGAATCCAAGTCAGGCTCCCACCTTTCCTGTACCCTGTATTCTCTGTGCAACCTGCAGCTTCTTTCTCTGATTCCTTCACTTGTGTTTGGCTTCTGGCAGTGACCAAATTTCTGTCCTTACTGGGAAACATGTGGTTTCTTTTTCTTGTGACTTTAGTTGGGGTGGGTTTTATTTGCTGTGTTAATCTTTTTACTTGTGGAAGAGGCCACACTGCCCTGTGTGAACTGCCAGAGCAAAAAGAACCACGTGGCTTTGCCAGCTTGTGGCCCATTGGCTCTGCCTAAGTTGCCAATAGAGTGGAGCTGCCCCTCTCTAGGCTGGAGCTGAGTGACTTAAACTGCTCCAGAAGTGTGCTGTCTGCTACTGGTAAGTCCCCCTTTGTCAGATTTCTTTTCTCCTTGGGCTGTCAGCTGTCAGGACCTAGGAAAATCAGAGGAGAACTGGACTGACATGAGAAGGGTATCTTAACAAAATGCTTCTTTGTGAAAAGTCTCCTTAAATTAAAAAGCAAAACAAATTCTATTCAGAGCATTTCCTGCATGATATGTATATTGTGTCACATGGTCCTTGCAAGCCCCCTACCCATTGTTGGGGTTTCTAGTCCAAACCTCCTACTTGGCACTTAGCTCTTTATGTACACAAACATTTCTCTCATCTTTTAAGTCAGATAGAAATCTTTTCAAACCACATTAAACTTCCTGGCTCTCGTGGGCAGAGGAGGCAGGGATGATTTCATCGTTTCTTGATAATTTCATATGAGTACAATAAATGGAAAGTCAGAACTGTCATGCACAGTGGCTCCTGGAGTCAGAACACTCTTGGCCCCCAGAATGCAGGCTCTGCAGTATGTTTTCCTGGTTGTCAGTTGATTGGTGCCAGCTTTCCATTCTTTGGCTCCTCCCTCAAGCTCCTGACCCTATCTTTCACCTCTGCCTTTGTTCACTGAATGATACCCACCATGGGCTAGGAAACAAGAAAGCCACCAACAGAGTAAAGAGACAACCCACAACATGGGGGAAATGTTTGCCATCTGTTCCTCTGACAAAGGATTACTATCAAGAGCATATAAAGAACTCAAAAAAATCAGTCCTCTCAGATTTAAAGACCCAATCCAAAAATGGGCACCTGAGATGAATAAACTTCTCAAATGAAGAAGTACAAACAGCAAATATAAAAAAAATGTTCACCATCACTAGTCATTCAAGAGATGCAAATTAAAACAACACTGAGATTTCACCTTACCCCAGACATTGGCTCTGCCCTCTGCCCTAAGCTGCCAGAAATCAAGCAATAAGAAATGTTGGCAGGGCTATGGGGAAAAAGGAACCCTTCTCCACTGTTGGTGGATATGCAGGTGGTGCAGGCACTGTGGAAATCAGTGTGGCGATTCCTCAAAATCTAGGATTGGTTGTCCTATTTAACCCAGCTATTCCCCTTCTGGTTTATCCCTTTTGCATTTGTTATCCCTCTTTTATCTTAGAGGGTAGCCTACTGTGGGTATTCTTTTGAACATTGCTGTTTCATTTACCAAAACATTCTGGAAATCACTCTGTATCAGTTCAGAGACTCCATCTCCCTTCTTTCCAAGCAGCTGCAAAGGACTCCATTGTGTGGCTGTTCCATAATGTGTTCAGTCACCACTGCATGGGCATGGAGGGTGCTTCCAGTGTTTTGCAATTACAGACAGTACCAAAATGAGTAACATGATGAGTATGTGTTTGTACTGTTGGGGGGTGTCTTCATTGTGAAATCTTAGAGGTTGGACTGCTGTGTCACACGTACTTCCATTAGATATTGCTAAATTACCCCTCTGCAGTGGTGGCACTGGCATTCATTCCCCTCTCCCCCAGGATGACAGTGCCCATTTCCTCAGTCCCACCAAATGTGGACCTTCTGGGTGTGCCTTCCCTTCTGCTAGAGTATTTCCTAGGGTCTATATTGGAGTTGATACCATGAGTCCAAGAGGAGGGGCTGCTGGAGTTCACAGACACAAAGGAACACTTGATACTTTTTCGAGATGCATCATCATATTTCTAGTATTGGCTATCACCCTGATGTTTGTGCAGGGTACCATTTCCCTTGCTCTTTCATACCGGCACCTAGGGCACTGCTCCAACCTTTGTCTCACCTTCTTCCTGCTCCCACATCACCCTGCTTCTGTGTCTGAAGGGCCATGGTTAAAGAATCTCTCTTCCCCAAGGACTATAGGACTCATGGCCACTGCTGCATACTTGACCTCTGCTCTGTTTTGTGGCTCAGTGCTGAGTCAGACTGCTAGGTCTCTGGTGCTCAGCATCCAAACCAATGTTAAAAACAATTAGCAAATGGTTTGTATTAAGCAATGCTAAAACACCGTTGGCAGTTATTGATTGTTAGACATAACAATTAAAAGCCAGGCATGGTGGCACACACCTGTAATCCCAATGCTCAGGAGGCTGAGGCAGGAAGATTGTTGCAAGTTCAAGACCAGTGTGGACTACATAGTGAGTTCAGGGCCAGCCTGGACTAGATAGTGAGACCCTGTCTCTCTATATCCCACATCTGTTGCACGTGTGCTCAGGACTGTGAGGCTCTTGGCTGTCTTTGCCCAAGTGTGGCTGTCTGGGAGAGAGGACCATCTTCTAGGCACCAGATGCCCATGTTCAGGCTGCAGAAGCCACTTCCACTTTTTTTTTTAAATTTTATTTAAAAGGAAAAAGAGAAAAAACAAAGCAATGTAAGGGTACAAGTAATACAGAACTACAAAAAAAAAAAAAAGTAAGAAATCACCAGTTAATAGATTACACATTATCATCTTAGAGATAGTTGCTCTAGTCACAGTATCAAAGCATACAAAGTGGACATTCAAACAGAGAGACTGCAAACAGTTGTGTTCAATGATCCATCCAAAAACATTAATATGGTCAGCTATTTAACACCCCTAAACACACTTGCAGTTGTATCCTTTAGAGCACTTTTTTTCCCTCTCTTTTTTACAACAAAATTTATACATTTTGGGTTTTTACTCCTTAGTTCTTATTACTTTTTTTTTTTTTGGAAGAGAATAAAGTCAAATATGGCAAAACAAAGCTGTCAGTCAAAACCAAGGATAGACATAGTACATGATGTAAAAACAGAGTACAAGGTTATCAACAATGGTTACCATAATGCCTCTTGCTTCCTTAAAAAGAATTGTCTATCTCATTAGGTATTATAAAGTTGAACAAAACAATAGAGAACAAGACCAATAAAACCTAAACCTTGTAAACATTACAGGACTCCCAAAGAAGATAATAGTCAAACCAGAATGGGCATCTTAGTGAATCTTATTGCCTTCAAAGTAGTTGCCTATACCCTCAAACTTGATACTATCATAGAGAATGGAACAGAGTCTAATCAGTCAAAACAAGATAGTGGGAGTATTATAGGACTTCAAATCAAGTTAATAGGAAATCAAAAAAGTTACTATAATATATCCTGCTAATTTTTTAAATTTTTCCCCTTAATTAAAAAAACCATAAAAAATAACTAAATAATTTTTTTAATGAATAAGGGAGAGATTGAGATAAAAGAGGACATAACAACGTAATAATACAGGTCAAAGCATGACTGTTTCAGCAACCTTGTCCACTGATTTTTAACACAAGGCTTTAGGAAATGTTTGAGATAATTCAGCTGCCCCACGATGGAGAGTCATGCTTTCA